CCACCGACTGCCCTGCAGCCACGAGCCCCGCGAGTTATTTACACCGCGAGTTATTTACACCGCGAGTTATTTACACCGCGAGTTATTTACCCCGCGAGTTATTTACACCGCGAGTTATTTACACCGCGAGTTATTTACACCGCGCACCACGGCGTTGTGCCGATTTGTGGACGCGGAGGGCTGGATGTCTGCTGCCTCTCCACGTCCTCGGAAAGCCCAGTCCTTCACCACGGCTCACGTCTCCTTCCAGCTCCGCGGAGCTTGCCCGCCACCGAGGAGGCCCCGAACAAGGAAGCTCACCCTGGATCTGGACCAGCATTATGAAACTCCACCAAGTGTTTTGAAAACTTGCCACTGTTTTCTAGAAGGAGATGATTTTTTTTTGCTCAGGGCAAGGTTTTCGCACGGCTTCGTCAAGGGCAAACCGCTCTGCTTGAGCTCGACGAGTAACAGGGGGGTTTCTCTCGCAGCCAAGAGCCTCCCACCGCACTGGGGACCACATCTGATACAACCACCTCGGGCAGGTGACAGCAGAGTCTCTCCTACCTCCTTCGGGCTGTTAGTTTTGTTGACACAACATCATCAAAGGCACCTTCCCCTCAGCTCACAAGGGGAAACCCGAGCCTCAAACTCCAGCGGCTCCCACTCAAAAGCACGGAGGGGACCCGGGGGAGAAGAACAGAGACAAGAGGAACAGACATGGGTGAAGGTGGTTTGTGTTCTTTTTTTTTTCCACACTTACTGCGTGGCGTTAAGGCTACCTGGGAGGTTTTAAGTGCAAACTTCAGGCTGAAGGTCTCTACTCGTTTTCAGGCTAAAGCAGGGAGGATCAGCTGCGCTGACGCGGCTACGTCTGGATGCTGTGAATACGGACAAAGAGGATCAGAGCATCTAATGAATGAGTTTTGCCTCCACGCCTGTTTTTATCCTGAAATCCTGAGAAAGAGCTGTGAAGCTTTCCCATCTCCCCAGTGAAAGTGAATGCAGCATGACTGCAGGGAGAGAAAAACACCAGGAAACAAATCCTGGGGAGCTTTACCCCTCCCCAGAGGAAGGGTGGACGCGGGGCAGGCTGCACGGCGAGCCTTTTCCAACAGGAAAAGCGGAGCCATGAGTCTCCTGAACTCCCCTGATATCAGAGCGGGATATCACAGCCTCACAGTGGGAAAACACACTGCATCAAGCTGGGGGGACTGGGGTCTTTCCAGCTCTCTCGTCTTCCCAGGTAGTCGGAGGGATGACAGTAGGAAAGCAGAGGATTACACTTGGCTGAGGATGATAAAGCAGAAATAACATGGAGGATGCGCAGGCCCCGTAGGACTTCAGCTGGCGCTCCTCTCCCTGCAAAGACCTGATTCCTTAGTTTATGAGTACAGTGAAAGCCTGTTTTTTTTTAAAAAAAAAGCTTCCCACCTCTGTCCCATAAGCCACTGGGAGCACAGACAAAACTACGGGCAATTTTCTCTCTGATTTAAAACAAGGTATTTCCCAGTTTAGCGTACGGTTCTGGCAGCCCGAGGCCAAGCGCCGGGCTCCGGAGGAATATAAACTAAGAAATACAGGAAGGGAGAAAGTCTGCAGGAACACACGGGTGTGAAATAGCACAGGCAGGCCAGAAGGATAACTGCCGGGGGATGTGCTCTCAATTCTGCCCATAAATTATCCCCTGCAGCCTGAGGATGTCACGAGCAGGAGAGATGGATGACACCAAGAGCCTGGGTCAGCGCCGACGGCCGAGGCAGCCTCTCCCAGGGCCTGCCAGCAGCTTCCATCACATAGAGATGGAAAGGATCTCATCAAGAGTGTTTTGCAGACCCGCATGGAAAGAGGACAAACCTTCTGTGCCACCAGCGCGGCCGAACCCCAGGTTGGCCAACTCCAGGTGTCAGCAACCCCACATCAAAGCCCTCACCACGGGAATCCCTGCAGCTCCTGCGCTACCCGTTGCGTTAAGTCCTGGGAGTCTCCGTTTCCAAGGGGTTTTGGTTTCTTTCCTGCACGAGAGCTTGTTTCTGGGGAGCACCGGAGGACGATCGCCGCCACCGAAGCCATCCTGCCTGCGCCCTCACTGCGAGAGCGGCGTGCTGCAGCTTGAGTTACAGGTGTTGAGACTAACCCTTGCCTCCAGCTGGATAAACAGACTCCAGTGTAAACCACCTCCAGTCCTCCACCAGGTTCTCCTCTGTGCAGATAGGCTAAAAGTCAAAAGAAGTGCCCGGATTAATTATGCAAACAAAGGCAAAGAAACCCAACAGAGAAAGGCACCTGCCTCCCAGGGACCACCTACCCTGGGACAACACCGCTGGCTTCCCACATAATACGGATCATTAATTATTATTCCCCTCCTGCTCCAGCAAGACTCGTACGTGGGCGTGAAGGAGGTGGAAAATAGCACAAAAGTGGCCAGAAGAGCTCGAGGGAGAAGAGTTTAGAGGCATTCCT